TATATTATATTATATTATATTATATTATATCGAATTTTGTTATTCTAAAATATATTATATTATATTATATTATAATAAATCATAGTGTATTATATTATATGAATTAATGTTAGCCAACGATAATGAATTCCATTTAACAGAAAAATACATGAACAACATGACCACGATCCCCCAGATTTTACCTGAAAATATAAGGTACAGGACTGAGAGTTCCTACATTCATTAGAAACCGATGAGAACCTACTGTAAAATAGTAGCTGGTCTATTTCATTTGTGGCAATTTTGAATCAATGAAGGACCAGCCGTGCGCCTGTTACACAGTAAGCAGACTGTCAGCTACTTTGATACATCTAAACTCTAAACCGAATTTTTTATTAAATATTTATCAAGACTGTTCCTTGCAATCAATTTGCTCGCGGTCTACGAAGGAATGTATGCATTTTAACTTATGTTGATGAATCAGCGACGATTAGCGAGATTGAATTGTTGAGCATTAAGCCGTCGCAAGTCGTCGCATCATTTGCCCATGCGTTTCAAATTTCACAAAATTTATCTTCAGTCCAGCAAATGTGTTCGTAATTTACGGAAGGAACTCATCGATCAGTTTTACTTGAATTCAGAAAAAAATATAAATGCTATTGGCGGTGACTCATGTGTGAATGTCATTCCGAAATCGGTAAGTAGAGAAAAGAATGGACAGAGTCAACAATGCTAGTTTTAATCAATTTGGAACAACGTATTCAATTAATCTGATTGATGTAACTATTTATCTTTCCAATTATTGATTAATTATAAATTATTTTTAAGTTATTAATTAATTAATTACGAATCAACAATTATTGAATTTAATCAATTTCAATTCCCCCCAATACCGAATTTCAAGAGAAACAACTTAAAATATCGCCATGAAAGCCACCTAAAATCGACCTAACAGGATTTTGTACGAATCTGTCCGTCCGAAAATATTGGAGGACTACCATTTTTCAAAGGTATACTCTGTTGGTTAAAAGTTGTAACCAGCAGATTGAGGTAACACATTGTCTTGACAACGCTCTGAAGAACAGTGACACTTCTGAGTGTTACCTGTTCAACTCATGAAGGATTATCAATCTCTCGACACACAAACATTATGCGCCAACAAACCAATACAAATTCCATCCTGAATTCGTTAGTGAATACAATTAAACGTTTGTCAGGAGCGCCGAACTCTCTAACACGGCGTACACTTGTATAACACATGGTATCGCTTGGACAAAGTTCCTACACGGAGACTGTCTTCCGAGATGCTAGATGTGCGCTTTCATTTAAGCCAGAGTAGACTAATGTAATAAACAGTGAACAAAGTTAAGCAAGACCTTTAGCCAAAACAACCAGTGAGATATTAAGCCCCTTGTCTAAGCGCAATTTGATTGGTAGATAAAGTTTGGGGAACTATCGTGAACGAATACAGAAATCTGTTTTGCGGTAGAAAATAGGTACTAATGAAGTGGAGTGCGAGGAAAGAATGGATTAGAGGGATTTCAACGTGCGAACCCACACAGTCAGTCGCAAACAACAGTTTGTGTGAAGGAGTGATCCTAACCGTTTGTTTATGGTGCAATGGTCTTGAATAAATTGCCCCTAGAATATAACCTGCTTTCAAGGACAGCCCCGACTTTCTAAATGAATCCCTCAAAAGCATAGGACAATTGCGTGCTTCACTGATGAACACACGTTTGGCAATAGCTAGGATGAATCATTGGAACAGTGGCAGTGTTGAATGGATAATGAATAAATAAATAATAACCATAAATAATTTAATTGATTTATGATAATTTCTCTGTGATTTGCGCAGGCTATATTCACACTCAACTACTGTTGTGTGACATGTCCAACTAAAGAAGATCATGTACGAAGCAGCAGAAGCATGCTGAAGCGTGCCGCAGTATATTGAATTGTTTGGACATTCTAATAGGCAGAGTGTGGAATGGAACTAGATTCACAACCCCAAAACAAAGAGAGCAACACGTATAAACCATTTCCAAGCTTTGATGAATTTCGTTCACTAATGTGAACTCGTAGGACGTACATATTCTACCATGTAAAGCGCAAGCACTGTGCCGAGCCGAAACTTTCTAAGGAAACACTCAACCAATTCCGCTAGAGTAATGAAAAGAAAGCTGAATTTCAAACAACCGATTTATGGTATCTTGGTGGTTCAATTGTCAGCTCGAGAATGCTAGTAGAGAGCGGCTAACGTGAAAACAATTGCAGATAGTGAGATCCAACCACAGCGGAAAGCTTGCAGTGTGATACAATTTTTTTTCTTTTGGAACTGATGCATACATATCACACCACTATGAAACGTGATACCAAACAATTAAAAATATAGGTTTCTCTGAATAGCACACTTGTAAAATATTTACTACTTTAAATGAATTCATTTAAATCAGGTTAAGAGTGTTTATAATTATAAATAAATGTACATGTATATTTACTAACATAATTATTATTTTTTATGTTGGTTTTTATGTTTTGTTTATTTTTATGTTTTTTATTTTTTATCCATTTTTATTTTTGTTCACTTTATTTTATTTACTTATCTTATTATTATTTTATTATCATTATTTTATTTCAATTTTTTATGTTTATTATTACCATTATTATTATTAACACAGTGATTAACACAATTGTTATGTCTCATCAATATAAATATATAATCATATATACAACCAAATAATATTAAACCTAGTACTCTGAGAAATGATATTTATACAAGTAAGTATAAAGGCATGATTGTTATATACTTAATTATTATACATATAATCATTATGCATATAGATTATTATTATTATTACTATGATTACTTTAATATTAATTTTACTGTCGTTTAATTGTGCGCTTGGTTTTTAGGAGATAAACCGCTTGCTCAAATTTTACACGTATATTATATAAATATGAATATATAATTAATATGTAACAAATGCCTATATATTTATATGAAATTTTATATATCATTTAATATGCTTTTCAATATGTGCGGGCTATTCAGGAAAATACTGGTGGTTTAAATCCGCTGGAAATTCTTGCAAATACACAGGGCTCTTATGTTTCATTACCTTAGCCTCCTTACATTGTAATGCAATATTTTCATAATGCAGGCGGAATTAACACTGACGAATACGGTTATTCTTGTACGTCCCACATATAATGTAATAAGTAAATGCCAGTGTCAATATATTGTTCAAAAATCTGCCAACAACTGTTGTCCAGCCTTCTTGAATTTGAACTTCCAATGGTTCCCAATAATAGAATATTCCCCAGTCACTTGAAAATCCAGGCATATTGTCTTCTCATGGCAACACGACGAGACTTGTTAGGCCGTGGACATCGTGTCAAAAATTTGTGACTAATAGTTTACACAAAAGCAAACCAATCAAACATTTTGGCTACAAATCCAAGTTTAATTTGCTCGTAACTCCAAAAAAAGTAAGCTCGATCGTTGAAAATCCTATGTAGTCCACATTCCAGTTGATGCTTTTGACAGTAATTATGTATTCGTTCGTGACATTTGTGTAGCAAACTTTGCTCTCTGTTGAACACGGTCGAAGATAAGCTCCCATGATGAGCTCCCCATCAAACACTAAAACGAACTTCCATCTGGAGTGAACTTGATGATTATCAGATGAGTACAAAGAATGTGAGACTGTTTGGAACGTAACCCTGCATTTTTCCCGAGGTCACACAGCCTTGTTCAAGCTTGCAAGGATTGGTGACGCGGATCCACAGAGATTATCGATGGTATTCTCAGCGCGCTGTTCGAAGAAATCTGAACAAGACAGAGGTGTGCGCGAAACGGTTGGGATGAATCTGGGCCTTGAACCATGTGACCAAT